TCCTGCAACCTCACTGGGGAGGACAAGAGTGACCCTGCCTGCAGGGTCTTTGCGTGGTGCTGGATTTAGCCCCCAGGCAGAGCTGGTGAAGCCTCCGGTGCTCCGGGCTCCTCTTCCTGGGGAAAGCCGGGCCTGACTCACTCAGGGTAGAGACTGAGGGCCCGAGGGCCCAGCTGATGGCCTGGATACTTCCTGACCAGCTATCAACACTGGGAATAGAACCGTGCCTCCTTCAGGAGGGTGTTGTGTCCCCACCTGGGTGCCGGCTTTCCTCCCAACTGCACTAGTGGACACATGTGGTCACACAGCCAGTTCGCAGGACAGGTGCAGGTGCCACACCCGGTGTGCAGGTGGGTGGAGCTCACACAGACCCTGGGCCACCATGGTGCATGTCAGCTTGACCCTGAAGGCCGTGGGAGGGGCATCACAACGTGAAGCAGAACGTTGGGGGCACCACCTGCTCCTCCATTTAGTGCTGGAAGGACCCCCAGGCAGAGATCCTGCGACCCTGACTCTGAAGGCACTGCTCAGGAGCAGGCATGAAGATGGAAGAGCCACTGACAGGACGTGGTGGAGAGGTGGACGCTGGGGTCTCCAGGGAGCTCCTGCGAGGGTGCCTCTGGGATATTTGCACTCCTCGGAGCTTCCTGAACAGGGGGCTCTTCCTAGACAGACGCCACTCCCAGGCCGCCTCTGGGTCACGGGACACAGACCTGGTCTCCAGTATCTCTTTTCCTCCCATCTCCTCATTGCTCCCACAGCAACTCTCTCCTGTGGTCTCTCTATCTAAACAATCTGCTGCCTGCTGGGTCCCAAGCAACATGAAGAGCAAGAAAGGTACCAAGTACTAGTTTTAATTTATAGAATACATTACAGCTCACAAACATATTTTGTCCATTAATAAAGCTCTTGAAAACCAACTGTATGTGGATTAAAGATACAGTGAATCAACTTGTGAAGCCATTTTAGAAATAAACAAAATTGGGCCAGACGTGGTGGCTCACGCCTGTTATCCCAGCACTTTGGGAGGCTGAGGCAGGCACATTACCTGAGGTCAGGAGTTCGAGACCAGATTGGCCAATAGGGTTCAACACCGTGTCTACTAAAAATACAAAATTAACTGGGTGTGGTGGTGTATGCCTGTGACCCCAGCTATTCAAGCAGCTGAGGCAAGGAGAATCACTTGAACCCAGGAGGCGGAGGTTGCAGTGAGCTGAGATCGTGCCATTGCATGATCCAACCTCGGCAACAAGAGCGGAACTCCGTCTCAAAAAGAAAATAATAATCAATAAAAAGTAAACAAAATCGATACTTCTTCATTCTGATCACAGCTTCATCCAGTCCGTGCTGACAGCACAAAATTCCAGGCAAATGGGACAGAGTCCACATCAGTATTCACACACCAACAGACATAGAGGGCAAGCCATGTTTTGTGGCCACATTAAAATAGTAAAAAGAAAGAGATTAATTTTATTGACATATTTTATTTGGTCCAGTATTTCCAAAATACAATTTCAACATGTAGGTAAAATAATACAATTGTTGACAACATATTTTGCATTTTGGTACAAAGTCTTTGAAAGATGGTGTATGTTTCATATTAAAGCACAGCTCAGACTGGCGACATTTCATGAGCTTCACGTCTAAATGTCAGGAAGCCTAGCGTTGTTCACAACACCAGGGTGGGAGAAGTGTGGAAGATGAATGTCCTGGGACTGACAGTGGGGCTGTTGAGGGGCAGAGTTTTTACAATTCTGGAAACATGGGTGCCAGGGTGCACATGTCAAAGATATGCGAGGGGACAGCTGAGGGGAGGATGAAGAGAAAAAAATCCCAGTGACTGCAGACAGGCTGTGGTTAATACTAACAAGAAGAGTGCCACCCAAAATTACCCAAATTACAAGAAAACAGACACCGGAAAAGAATGGCAGGCACGGGACAGGACTGACAGAGAAACTAACCCAAGGAAAGTAAGTAAATAGAGTGACGCCTGAAAGGTAACAAAATATCATCAGGGAGATACACAGTAGTAGTCAGAGAAATGTCTAGGACAGATATGGTGCAGAGCACAATTTAAGGGAGAAACAGTTATACCAGGACAAGAATCTATGGCCCAGATGGTAGTGACCCTGCCTGAAAAGGCACGTGCTACACGGCAGGCCGGCCCAGGCAGCAGCGTTCTGTATTGTAAAGATACTCGCTGTATGGCAAGCTTGGAGCAAGAGTCACTCCTCCTGAAAAGGAGTTGCAGGACCTTGCATCCAGTTCTTGTGGAAAGCTGGCCTCAAGTCAGCAAGCCCATAGGTATCTGAGGGCTTAAAATCCCTCTAGTATAACCGCAGCTAGGTGGCTGTACACCTTGTCAGCTCTGTTGCTAGGTACTAACTCAAAGCATCCTCCTATAGAAATCACTGGAAGCTGCCAGCAGCTGGCTGTATACCCTGTCAGCTCTTCAGCTACTGTGCTGACTCAAAAGCAGCCTCCTATAGAATTCCTTAAAAGTAGCCTGCCCCTAGATAAGAGATATTGCACACTGCACCCTCTTCACTGTGCACGGCCCACCTCCTTGCCTAGGTGACCTAATGGGGGTGGACCCCTTGCTGCACACGGCCCACCTCCTTGCCTCAGTGACCTAATAGGGGAGGACCCTTTCCTTATTGCACACGTGACTGTCTTGACCCTATCACTGTTCTTAAGATGTCCTCACTCACTACCCTGCCCCTTAACCTATACCCAATAAATACAGACACTCTTGGGGGCCCTCGTCTGTCTCCGCTCATAGGTGGCATGCCCTCCCACCCCCTCCCACCAGCCTAGCTGTCTTTTCCAGTCCTTCAGTGTCTTGTCTCTTTATTCCTCGGATCCTGCACCTCAGCACAGCGAAAGGGGACACCCCACGACGCTAGCAGGGCTGACCCCACAGAGACCAGCCTGGCCAATATGGTGAAACCCTGTCTCTACTAAAAAAAAAAAAAAAAAAATTCGCTGGGCGAGGTGGCAGACACCTGTAGTCCCACCTACTAGGGAGGCTCAGGCAGGAGAACAGCTTGAACCCAGGAGTGGAGGTTGCAGTGATCCGAGATCACGCCACTGCACTCCTGCCTGGGCCACAGAGGGAGGCTCCGTCTCAAAAAAAAAAACAAAAAAACAAAAAAACAGGAAGGCCAAGTCCAAGATTTCCTAAACACGATGTTTTGAAAGGAAGATTGAGAAACACGAGAGAGAGGAAGATGCACTATATACCTAATGGAGGTTCCTCGAGGTGAATATAGGAAAAATGGAGAAAAGTATCAGTGAAAACAATGTTTTCTCATAAGAAGAAACCATGACCTTCTACACTGAAATGAGAGAATGCATGTTAAGTAGCATAAACAGAAATGACCACACTGTGGAAAGATTCTAAGAAAGATCTGGGAGAGGTTAAAGCTATTAAATAAAAAAAAAAAAAGTCCACCACTAGAACTTTTTTAAAGAAATACCAAACTAGCTCAAAAGCTAACATATGCAATGAAAGTATATACACTTAATAATTCATGATGTTAAAATAATAGAATGTTTAATTTGAAAACCTGTAAGTTCGGGTATATTTTTTAAAAACTGGGAAAAAAGCATTATCGTACATCAACAGTTCAAAAGAAATTAGCTGTAAGAAAATTAACTTTATAAATAAGAACCTCTTATATTTTTCTGTTTCTGAACAAGGAAGTGAAGCGTAACACCACCTGGTAAATCTCCGAAGCGAAGACAGACAGCCTTAAGCTGACCCAGACCGAGAGTGCACTGCCTTGAAGGTCCCAAGAGCAGGCACCGTCCCCAGGTCCTACACGGTCCGGGAAGTGGACACCGTCCCCATGATGCTCTGACCCTTCTAGGAAGTCCCGGGTGGGAGGGAGGCTGGAGTGGCCGCACAGCGCCCTGATCCTCTGAAACAATCCTCGCAAGCCCCACCCGCCTCCGCCTGCTCCTCTGCCGGCGAAGCGACCACAATCCCTACACCAGGGTGATAAGTCTCCATATTACAGGGAACACCCGGAAAGACCGCGGTATCTGGACCTAGTAAATGCCATAAAATTATCGCGAGAGGAAGGAAACGCAGATCTCGTGACAAGTGAAGATCTCAGATCTCACGAGAGGAGACTTGGCGCCCTCCTCCGTGGATTCTGGCCAGGCAGGGTTCAGCGGTTGCTGTGAGGGCACGCTTCCCTGCACCATGCCGTCCGCGTTCTCCGTCAGCTCCTTCCCTGTCAGCATCCCAGCTGTACTCACGGTAACTCGCAGCCTGCGTAACCACCAGTTCGGGCGAGGACTGCCGAGAGCCGCGAGGTCTACCGCACAGAGCTACTCGCCTGTGGCCCAGAATGCGGCGGTCGTGGGCGGGGTCTTGCGGCGGGGCATGCGCGCTGGGCTAGGTCCTGGAACCTGTGGGCGTGGCTCGGGTCGGGGCGGTGGAGCGTGCGGTGGGCCGGGTCCTGGGACCTGTGGGCGTGGGTCGGGGCGGTGGGGCGCGCTGGGCGGGGTCTTGGGAAATGTGGGTGTGGTTCGGGGCCGGGCGCCGGAGCGTGCACTGGGCGGTGTCCTGGGTTCTGTGGGAGTGACTCGGGACCGGAAGTTGGGACGAGCATGCTGGGCGGGGTCCTGGGCCTTGTGGGCGTGGCTCCGGGCCGGGCCTCGAGCTTGTGCGCTGGGCGGGGTCCTGGGTCGTGGGGGCGGGGCGTGCGCGGTGGGCGGGGCCTGGATTGGGTGGGCGGGGCTGGGTTGTGTGGGCGGGGCGCGGGGGGCAGGGCTTTGTTCGTGTGGAAAGTGCATGCGGGCGAGTCCTGCGCCTTGCAGGGAGGGCTTGGGTACTGTGGGCGGATCTTGGGCAGTCTGGCGGGGCGTGCGTGGTGGAGCCCAATAGTGTCACGTGGCGGGGAGGAACCCTGCCACTGCGTGGGCGGGGCCGCGCCGTGCCTAGTGTGTCCGGCAGGTCCCTGGGGAGCCCTCAACCCGAGTGGGTACTTGATGGGATCTGGGCAGAAAGCCGTGCTCCCCTCACCTCCCTGACTCTGGCATTCTGGTCGGTGCATTGATGGGAGCAGATGCGCTTGTGCCCTTGTCTCCTGGTGCGGCTCTGGAAAGGCTGCAGTAGTCTCCATCAGAGAGCAGCGACACTTATAGGAGTCCTGGAGGGCTGTGTAGGGCTGCAGCTTGGAGTGCAGGGCTTGTCTCATGCAGAAGGGCACGCGAGGGGATGGGGAGGGTTGAGGACTGCTGGGATTGGCATCTGAGCATCAGGTGGGAACTGGGCAGCAATGGAACTGAGCTTGGCTACTGTAGGTACTGGAGCCAGACACTGCCCCCAGGTGTAGCAGAGTCCCGGGGAGTCCAGGAGGCAGCAGAGTGCAGCACTGTCTGGAGGGTTCAGAGTGTCGCAGAGAGGTTGGAGAAAATCAAGTCGTGCGTGTGGTGGTGGCTCAGATTCCCCAAGGCTTTCAGTGCTAAGGAGCCTGAAATAACCAGTGTTTTATCTTTGGGGCTGAGCCAAGTGCATCTCTTTGAAGAAGTCGCTTAATTTCCTCATCATCACCAATTATCAACACTTTAGGGGCGGTAATTCCTTTAATTATACCCACTTTAAAAACATGATTTTGTTCCACAAACAAAAGGGGCATGTCAGGGATGCCCTCAGTTCTGTGTGCTTGAACTTTGAATTCCGTGGATTAAAGTTGCTCTGGGGGAAGAATCCTGCTTCCATCCTCCCCGTTCCTTCTCCCTTTCCTGTCACCATGCTTCTGTGAGGCCCGGCAGTGCTCTCCCCATACTTGGTGAGTGGCCCCAGGAAGACTTAGGAGTGAGAGATCCCTGCCCCCTGCCCGCTTCCCCTTTCCGTGGGGGAAGACTGTGGGTGGGCCGTGAGCCCCGCCCTGCAGGGCGGGACAATGAGTGTCTGCTGGTGTGTTTCTATAGCAGACGGACTGGACTGAGCCCTGGCTTGTGGGGCTGGCTGCCTTCCACACTTTCTGCCTGCTTCTCACCTGCTTGTCCTCCTGGAGCTACAAACTACAGATCGGGCACTTCCTGTGCCTAGGTGAGTAAAACAACACAACTGCACGACTCAGATCACTGTGTGAAATGAAGCTGTACGTTCCGTCTGTGTCTTCAAAATACGTACGTATTTTTGCCAGACCTCCCAACCCTATCATGTGCATGCTGTTAGGGCACTCCCATATTTCACTCTTGGAAGCTATAAAGAAAAGTTCCTTTTGGATGTGAGAATTGAAAGGAATCTATTGAGTTCCTGTTGCCTACCAGGGAGGCGCTGAGCACCAGCTGCACACAGGAGAGCTGAGTTTAGGAAGTGCTATTGTTTACACAAGTTGCATCCTCAGGACAGCTCTGCTTTGAATGGGAGGAAGATTGCAAACTGTGGAAAAAAACATTCTGTGCATAAAATAAGGCATTGCCCAACTTGGCTTCAAGGATAAGGGCTCCAGAACTTGGAGAAGTTAGGGAGTTGCACAGGCTGACTGAGGAAGATTATTCAGAAAAGCTGAAGTGTGGCACAGGGTGTGAAGGGTGAGTAAGATGCTAATAAGAAAAAGAGGGCGCCGGTGACAGCCCTGCGAGGTGACGTGCAGAGACTGAGGTGGATGGAAGGCATGGGTCAGAGGCAGAGAAACTGCCCGCCCTGCGGGACCTAAGCACTACAAACACGAGGATAGGAGAGGCGAGGAGGCCTGGAGGCCTGGTACAGGCTCCTCTTGACTCTGGGCATTGGAGAGACACCGAAGATTTTGCTTGGTAGTTAAAAACAACAACTAATTTTAGGTAAGTTTAGTCAGCTGGCTGTGTGCAAAGCAGGAAATCTGAGGAGCTGATCTTAGAAAGACTAGAGAAGGGATGAGCTTTGGCATATCCTGTGCAAGTGAGGCGGTCAGAGCGAGCTCTGTATCAAGGGTGCCCTGAGGAGTACTGGGGTGGTCCAGGGAGACAGGGCTCCTTCGCCTCCCACAGCTTCCTAGGGGACACAGCACCAGAGATTCATCAGACCTGTGTTATTATCACAGTGACAGATGTTGCAATGGAAAACCAAAGACACAGTGAAACTGGAGGAGTGGCCTGATTTAAATCACGCAGCCTCCTGTGACCTCAGGGCAAAAGTGCATAGGCAGGATCCAGGCAGCAAGACGCTGGCAGCAGTGGGAGCAAATGCCCCACGCAGGGGCCTGAGGCAGGCACCTCAAAGAAAGGGGACGGCTTCACCAGCTGAGCTCCTGGATCTGAACAGCTTTCTCAACTGGAGAATTGCACAGGGGTTTGATGTTTTCAAGGATAAGGGGAAGGGTGACTGCTTTCACACCCGGGTAATACTAGACACGGTGCTGCCTGCGGTTGCATTTCCTGTGATCTCAGACCAACCCTAGAGTTGGATTTTGGTTGCCCATTTTTATAAATGAAACACACAGAGGTTCTCTGACTCCCTCAGCTACACAGCTTATAATCAGCACCATCAAGATTCAGGATTCAGACTCCGCTCCAGGGTGCATTCCAGGAACAGCTGGGAAGAAGCAACTGGTGGCACCCTCCCTGCCCACCGTCCTCCCCACCCTCCCCACCCCCACCCCCTCCTGTGCCCACCACTTCCTATGTTAGCCCACCCTTCTCAGGTGCCCTGCCGTCCTGCTCCCCCTGTCGCTCTCTGGCCCTCCTCCTCTTCCTCTTCTTCCTCCTCCTCCTTTTTCCTCCTCCTCCTCCTCCTCCTCTTCCTCTTCCCCCTCCTCCTCCTCCTCTTCCCCCTCCCAGGCCCTGCCCTCCCCTTTGGTTCTTTCCCTGCACCTTCCTTTGCTCTGCTTTATTGGGTTCATTCCTGGAGGAAGGCAGTGGAGGGACCACTACCCTAACCCTAACCCTAACCCCTAGTTTAATCTGCTTTTGGATGTGGATCAAGAAGAATGAAAGGATTTTTACATTTTGATTTACCTTAGAAGTTAAAGTATCACATTTTTTTTAATTTGCCAAATTATATTTTATTTAATTTTATGGCAGCATGGATCACTGTCTCATGGGTTTGAGTACCAGCATTATCCATGAATTAGCTGGAGACCCTGGGCCAGTCCCTAAACTCTGTGTGCTCCAGTGGCCTCGCCCTGCCCCCACCAGCTGCTGCCCTCCCTCCTGTGCCTTTGCCTCCAGCACCCCCAAAGCTGTTGGCTCCCCTCTTGTGGTCATCTTGGTGGCAGAGCCCAGGGCAGCCTGGGACATGTAAGCGTGAAAAGCCCTTGGTTGTCAGCTCTGGGTCTTGTGGCTCTCGGCTCCTGCTGCTGTGTCCTGTGGGGTTGAACTGTGGCTGCTGTCCCTGGGGAAATGCAGGAGGCACAGCCATGCCTGGGTGCAGCCTGGGGCCTCAGGGCGCTTCCGGCTGTGGCTCTGCAGCTGCTGAGCTGAGCTTAGCTTGGGCTCTGACTGAGCCATAGATTGCTGGAGCACTGGAGTACTGTTGGCCTTGGTTTTCTTTCTGCTAAAAGGGCGAGTCCTATAACTTGACAGTGTTAGGATGTTTACCTGACATTATGTTTAAAATTAAAGTGACATTTCTATTCAGTTTTCTGCTATAAAGAATGTATAACTTTATAATGAGTAATGGTGGCTCGTCTAAATTCTAACATGAATTATATCTTTCTTCAGTAATCCTAGTCTACTGTGCTGAATACATCAATGAGGTGGCTGCAATGAACTGGAGGTGAGCTGCCCCCGGTCCTGTGACCAGGTCTCTGCAAGGGTGTCCCTGGAAACCGCCCTCACAGCCAGGAGACTCTAGGAGGAGACAGTGAATCCTAACACAGCAACCGCACACATGCTGTGCCTGTGCGTGCAGCGGGTGTGGGCTCCAGCGCAGCTCTGTGAGTGGTTTACCAACGCCAGAGCAGCCCTTTCTGAGCACAGAGCTGCAGGGCGATGCTGGCGGAAGCCTCTGACGGCACAGCCAGAGAAGTGGCCATGGGAATATGAGCTGCTGAATAGAAACAGCGTTTTAGAGAAGGTGGTCCACGCTGGCCTTAGCCATGCCCTGCCCCTTGGACTGTGGCGGCTGCTCCATGGGGAGTCTGGACCCCAGCACGGGGCTCTGGGTGGTCTGGGGCACCTGCTCTCTCACCCCCAGCCCCAAGTCCTGATGTCGGGGCACCGCTGCTGGTAGACCTGGCCCTGCGTTCTCTGCCCCCTCCTCCATCCCTGGCCTCATCCCGGGGAACTGGGACCCAGCACCTGCCTAGGGTGAACCTGTCAGGTAATACCCACCTGGCCTTACTGTTTTCGAATGGCCTGTGAGGTAAAAATGGTTTTTACATTTTAAAATATAAAGCAAAAATAAAACTGCCAGACTGAGCAGGAGGAGCTGAGACTGTGGCCTCATGGCCCATAAGCCCTAAGCGCTGACCCTGGGCCCTCACTGAAAGGGGTTGCAGAGCACTCCCTGAAATCCTTTGCTTAGACTCGCCCGGTTTCCCAAACCCTCCCCTGACTCTGCCTCCTGCCTGCTCAGCCTTTCTCTCCGGGACAGCGTCCCTGCCGCTGGAGCATGCTGTCTCTTTCCTTCTCCTCCCTCCTCCCTTCTTAGCAGTAAGTGGCCCCGTGGGGACCCCGCCTCTCCTGGATACAGGGCCTTCACATGGCTCAGTCCCAGGAGTGGTGCTCAGTCCTCGGTGACCCTGACCTTGTACGGAGGCTGGCACAGTGCCCTCCTCCTCCCTGAAGTCCTCCCACACACAGCTCCAGGGTGTCGCACCTTCCGGGCTCCTCCCTTCCCTGTGGCCTCAGCCTCCTGGCTTTGTGCTTCTCCGACACCTCCTGATGGAAGTGCTGGGTTTCCTGCCTGTCACACTCACCGGACTGGGCACCAGGATGTCTAACAAATGTCTCAAAATTCACACTTCAGGCCAACTGCTCTGCTCCCCCTTCGTTATAGAGGCGTCTTCTCCCTCAGCTTCTTAGACCAGAGACGTCACAGCGTGTCGTTCAGGAAGTGCTGTCCCTCCACCTTTAAGGCCAGCCATGAGCCCACTGTGTTCCGAGCCCTTCACCCCAGCTCTGCCATCCTGCTGCTGACATGCAATCCCTAAGCCATCCCCATACTGCTCAGCCTCTCGCATGTCCTGAGGAGGCATAGGCCTCAGCTGGGCACTGCCCCTCAGAATGTTCCAGAGTGTCCCCAGGTCACTCCGAGCAAACGCGGAGTCATGCAGTGGTGCCCTGTGGCCTCCTGCTAGCTCTGTCCCAGCCGCTCATAGCTGTGCCTGCGAGTCCACCAGGCCCCCTCACCCCCCACAGCCTTCACGTTTCCTCAGTCTCTTCTCCTAAAGGCGCTGGTGCTGGCAGCAGGACGGCTGCTGTGAGAGCCACAGGGATGGGAGGGTCCCAGTGCGGCTGTGGAGTGGACGCAGCTGCTCTCCCTCCTCATGTACGGGGATTATTGATGTTACTTTATAGGTTCTAAGGATTTCAGGTCATCAATGTCTTCCAGCTGAGGTCAGACGTGCCGCTGACCCAGAGGGGCTGCTGGGTGTCATCTCCCTGCCTGGGAGGCCTCGGGGTCTTTCCCCATGCTACAGGGTGGGGTCTCCCTGCCTGGGAGACTCTGGGGTCTTCCCCGTGCTACAGGCTGGGGTCTCCCTGCCTTAGGAGGCCTCAGGGTCTTCCCCATGCTACAGGGTGGGGTCTCCCTGCCTGGGAGACTCTGGGGTCTTCCCCGTGCTACAGGGTGGGGTCTCCCTGCCTGGGAGTCTTCGGGGTCTTCCCCGTCCTACAGGGTGGGTCTCCCTGCCTGGGAGACTCTGGGGTCTTCCCCGTGCTACAGGGTGGGGTCTCCCTGCCTGGGAGACTTCAGGGTCTTCCCTGTGCTACAAGGTGGCATCTCCCTGGCTTGGGAGGCCTCAGGGCCTTTCCCGTGCTGCAGGGTGGCATCTCCCTGTCCTGTGACCCAGTGTGTTTTCTTTATGGGCATTGCATTTGGGACAGCACAGTGGAGATGATGGCTGCTCCCCAAGGGTAGGCTCAGTGAGGGGGTTGCTTCTGCCTCAGTCCACAGCAGGTTTCTCCAAAGTCTAATTAAAATAGACAGTGTCACTAGAACTTTTTTTGTTGTATTGCCTAGTAATGTTTTGTTTTTGTTTTTTTAAACAGATTATTTTCAAAATACCAGTATTTCGACTCCAGGGGCATGTTCATTTCTATAGTATTTTCAGCGCCACTGCTGCTGAATGCCATGATCATTGTGGTACGTACAGACAGACTCTCATGGGCTTTCTTCATCTAAACGTGTTCCAAACAATTGTGTTTAGATTATGTGGGTACGGAAGACGTTGAATGTGATGACTGATCTGAAGAACGTACAAGAGAGAAGAAAGGAGAAGAAAAGGAGAAGGAAAGAAGACTGAGAGGCAGCAGCTGCTTGGAGTTTGCGTCCTCAGTCCACCCCGGCTGCTCCAAGTGCTAAACTGCACGTGGCATGGGCATCCTTCCACCTGACCCGTGGTTTGAAAAATGGTTGTTTTATTTTAACATCCACAGTGATAGGCACACACTGAAGTCGACTTTTCAGCAGCACTGAATGTATCCATCAGGACATGCGTCTTCAGGCGTCTGATCTTTGTAGTCAGGCCATGGGAACGGTCCCTGCAGAGCTTTACAACTGGGAGTTTGATTTGAAGAAGTCCATGTCATCTGTGTAACTGGTACTCATTATAGCCTGTTCACAATATTAAATATGAAATTCAGTAATAAACAGTGCCACCCTGCGCATGGGCACCATGCTCTCCTCTTGCTGTGTTTTCTAGTGCATGCAGCGGTTCTCAGTAGAAGTTGTTTTTGCCTTCCAGGACATGGGGCAAAGTTTGGAGACACTTTTGGTTGTCACTGGAGGGGGTGGGGCTCCTGGCCTCTCCTGTGGAGCCCAGGGATCATGCAAAACATCCTGTGTGCCTGGGCCAGCCACACCACTCATGTGGCTTGACATGAAATGTCAGCAGTGCTGGGGCAGAGAGACCTTGGAAGGAAGCTCTTGGAAAAGATGTTGCATCTTGGTTTGATGAACCAATTCCCAAGAGGCTAGGTCCTCTCTAACAAAGTTATGGGCTGCTTGACTGAAAACAGAGTGGAAGTCCTGCAGTCAGCACTCCACGGAGAGCGTCTTTCCTAAGTGTCACGGTGTCCTGTTGGTTCAGGTGCTTGGGAACACAGTGCTCTCAGTTCTGTTAGGGCAGGCATACTGTTACTTTGCAATATCCACTTTATAAAGTAGCTCCTGCCCAGTAGATTTTGGTTCCTGTCAAATCTGGACCTGTAGTTTGAAGGTGACAGGTGGTTAGAGACCCAGATATTTAAAAATAGGTGTTCAGTAAGGGAATGCTCATTGTGCGTCTTATCTGATAGCATGCCTAATTGTGCATTTCTGAAAGTTACCAAGTCAAAATGTAATTGGCACAGTTAACTTTGAGTAGACAAACTTGGAAGAAAATGAGGTGCAGAGATTGCCAGCCAGGCCTGTGCCCCTCTCGGGCCTTTGTGGCTGACAAGTGGGACAGGAAGATGATTAAGGCGACTTGTCCTCCCCCGGCATTGTCCAGGGCCACTGTGTGGATATTTGACTTAGCTAACACAAAATAAACCAGGGAGATTTTAGAGACTGTACATTTTTAATGTCACATTTTCATCTGATATGGTTTGGCTCTGTGTCCCCACCCAAATCTGTGATCCCCATGTGTCGAGGGAGGGACCTGGTGGAGGTGATTGGATCATGGGGGTGATTACCCCCATGCTGTTCTCCTGATCATGAGGGAGTTCTCACAAGATCTGATGGTTTTTAAAATGGCCCTTGCTCTCACTGTCTCTCGTGCCGCCTTGTGAAGAAGGTGCGTGCTTCCGTTTTGCCCTCTGCCATGACTGTAAGTTTCCTGAGGCCTCCCTCCCATGTGGAACTGCATCAATTAAACCTCTTGTTTATAAATTATCAGGTCTCAGATAGTACCTTTACAGCAGTGTGAGAACAGACTAATACATCATCCATACGTTATTTGGGCTTAACTCAATATGGGGCCATGTGATTGAATCTCAGTTTGTGATAAAACAGTGTAACAGTGTTGCTAGTTTTGCATGAATTTAATGCTGATGACGTGTCATTGTGAAACCATGACGTGTGTTCTTTGGTTTCCACTCAGAGTATATATGTCTGTGTTTTGGAACCGTTATATTTTGTTTTCATAAAAACAACCTTCACTATTTTTAACTGTGTAGTAAGTTTATATTCATTGCCTTCAAATGCATTGTTAACAGTTGTCTTGATATGTTGTCTTCATGTCAGGGAAAGTCATAGAGGCGAAAATGGTCAGCAGTTGGGTAATTCACGAAAGCACAGATGCAATCCCACTTAGATGTGCTGGAAGTCACACAGAGCACTGGCTCCATAAATGTGGATGACTCACTGGAGGTCTTCATCTGTTTAAGTGGAACAAATGTTTTTACTCATAAAGTACAGGAAAGGAAGAGTTTGTTATAAAAATATATTTTTCACATTCCAAACCTGCTACACCTTACATTTAGCTATGCAATAAAGTAGATCATTAATAGCATGTAGTGTTTTGTTTTGTTTTGTTTTGTTTTTTTCCAAAAAATGGTGTTTGTTTTGTATCTTACTGTAACTTGAAACAGGAGCACCTGGAACTGCACTCCACCTGTGGCTGGCAGGTCCCTTTGCTGCAGCATCTGGTGCTGAATTTTACAAACAAATGCAATTGTGTCATTACCAGTAGAAGAAAGTCCACTTGCACAGATAATGCATGTCAAATCAGAAAGCAATGTGCAGCCTGAATGTCTAGCTTCTGTGAGAAATAAAGTGGCAAGGAAATGTTAACACATTCTCTCTCTTTACAAAATAATATGTGAATTGTTAAAAAAAAAAAAAAAAAAGTGGGGTTGGAATTCAGGATAAGGAGCTTCAGTGGAATGCTTGAAGACAGGTGGGAGTTGCCATCAGAGACGTATTGGTCAGGCCCAAGCATCAGAGGCTTCCTTGTCTGGACTTTGGTGGAGCACCCTTCTTTCACCATGTTAGAACACATTTTCAGGGCAGCCTTCCTCTCTGTACTGAAGCGATGAGAACCAGTGACTAGCCATGCTAATAGATGTCCTCATCTAAAGAGTAAAGAGTAGTTACCAAAACCCTCTCATATTGAATGAATGGTTATTATAAAATGCGTTCTGATTTCAAGAGTGTGAAGAGAGTCAGGGGTCCCCAGGACCACCCCAGGATGACGCCCTGGAGAGACTCCCAGACTCAGAGCAGTGCTCACAGTCAGGGCTGTGGGTACCACAGTGAAAGGCTGTGGATTAAAATCAGCACAGGGGATGAAGCCCAGGAGAGACCAGGCACAGGTTCGCAGGCATCCCCTCCAGTAGGCCCCCAGGGCTGCATGCAGCCCTCCCAGTAGCCGTGGGACCACACACAGGGCCTGAGTCCATCGGGGAAGCCTCCTGGACCCGCGTGCCGGGTTTGTGGCTGCATGGACACGGAGCCCTGGGCTCACATCCTGTCACAGACCCACGTAGGGAGGAGGAAGTTACTGAACATCTAAGTCATCAGAGTCATCTAAATGGTGCTGGCGCAGTGCATGCTGGAAGATCATGGCACTATGGAGAGTGGCACAGCAGCAGGACCGTTTCACAGCTGACAGGCGCTTGCATTTGAGGCAAATGAGAGGAAGAGGGGACCCTACAGAGATCGGGGTCTCCCAGGCAGGGAAACAGCCACTGAGAAGGTCCTGAGGTGGGGCCCTGTGGCCTGTTCAGGACAGAAGGACACTGGGCAATCCCAGCAGGACATAAGTGCAGCGAGATGGGGGTGGGCACCACACAGGACCCAGCCCTGCAGAAGCACCAGCTCCTGAGCGGCATGGCCGTCCTCCGGGGTCTGCACAGGAAACAGGCCAGGACTACCTGTGCGTTCAGCTCATGACTTTCAGCTTGTGGCTCTGCTGCCACATGGAGAATGGACACAGGGAAAGTGGGAGGCACTGAGAGACTGGGCCAGAGGGAGAGTGGAGGAGGTGGTCAGGGTTCTGTGTTCGCAATCTTGCCCTTGGTGAGGAGACAAGGCATGGAGCTGCCCTGAGCCCCTCATCTGCAGAGGGAACAGGATTGCTGTTTGCTTCCCTTTAGGGGATCAGGTGCTTGGTAGGAGGCAGGCAGGCCTCAGAGTTCGACCACACCAGCAAGTCAGGTCCCAGGGAGGACGAGGCTGGGCTCCACGTGCAGGGTTCTCGGAGGCAGGAAGGGAGCGAGTCAGGGCGGAGCAGAGGACCCAGGGGGTGGCGCTGCCCAGTCCCGGGGTGGTATGAAGGTGTCTCCAAGCCCTGGTCACTGCATGGGAGGGCAGGACGGGGTAGGGAGACCCAGGCAGGCTGTGGGTGCTGCGCCTTGGTGGCAGCTGGTTCCAAGTGGGGCTGGAACAGTTGACAGCAAGCGTCCTTGTTAGCCTGGTCAGCTCTCTAGCTCCTCCTCCCCTGTTGCAGTTTCACAGCAGCCTGTCCAGTTTGATCTTTCCTCACTTTTGGAAAAGCTGTGGCTACTATAGTCTTCAAATCATGCTGTCATTAGAAATTGCACAAGACCTATGCCAGGGGAGGCGCTGACTGGCACAGACACTGGCACAGGCCCTTAAAAACCTGAGGACAGGGAAGGAGCCCCCTGCAGCCTTCAGACAGCCAAGCAGAGACCTAAGTCCAAGCATGTGGCCACAGAGTCTGCTCTGTAAGTCTCAGGGCTATCACCTTCTGCTCCAGCCTGGGTCAAAACAGCCTTCAGCAGCTTCTGCTCCATCTGAGTGAGTGGTGTGTCTGCCTCCCTGGGTCTTGTTGTGCATGAGGTTGATGCTCCATCTGAGTGAGCTGAGTGTCTGCATCTCTGGGTCCTGTTGCATGTAGGGTTGATGCTCCCTCTGACTGAGCTGGGCATCTGCATCTCGTGGGGTTAATACTCCATCTGACTGAGCTGGGTGTCTGCATCTCATGGGGTTAATACTCCCTCTGACTGAGCTAGGTATCTGCATCTCATGGGGTTAATACTCCATCTGACTGAGCTGGG